AGCCTATTTCTTGGAAGGCCGAGCAAATCGGTGGTGGTTAGGTGAAGAAGCTGCAGGTGTAGACCAAGTGGATATGACTTGGGATGAATTTAAAGCAAAGTTAAAGGCTAGGTTTATACCGTCGCATATTCGAAAAGCGAAGAAGCAAGAATTGCTGGACTTAAAGCAGGGCTCGATGTCAGTTGAGGATTATTTTGTGAAGTTTAATGAGTTGGAGATGTATGTTCCTGACTACTTTTCCTGTGAGCGAGACAGAATTGACCATTTTGTAGACGGGTTGCAACACAGAATTCAAGAAGCTTTAGCGGTGTTGGATATCAGTTCATTGTATGAGGCTTACGAGTGTGCTGCCCGATTTTATCAGAAGCAGGAAGTCAGACAAAAGGAGAGTGAGAAGGAAATAGGTTATCAACATCAGGTTCGAGATAAGGGAAAAGCTAAAGTGGAGGATGAGCCCAAGGGTAAAAAGAAATGGTGGCAAATGTTCAGGTCTGGGCCATCGTATAAGGGGATTTCGATTAATGAACCGAGTCAGGAGAGGTCTCAGCAATCGGGGACTGTTTGTCGGCGTTGTGGAACAAGCCACCCAGGTACTCGTTGTGATAAAGTTCCATTGACATGTTTTAAATGTGGTGGTAGTGGTCACATTGCCAGGTTATGTCCAAGTGTGGTAACTGCAAGGGAGTTTCCAGAACCGAGGTTTAGGCCATGGCAGCCGCCGTCTTCGCAGTCACAAGGGAGAGGATTAGGATCATCTTGGCTAGGGGGACGAAGTCAGTCACGTTCGTCATCTAGGCAGCCAGGCAGAGGACCTGACCAGCGTGGACGAATAAATGTTATTACCCAAGCAGAAGCTGATTATCATCCAGGTGAGGTTTTAACGGGTAGATTTCTGGTTTGCGGTTTTCCTGCTCTTGTGTTATTCGATTCGGGTGCAACGTTCTCGTTCATATCTAAGCGTCTAGTTAGACGATTGGGTCTGAATTCATCAGTAGAAGTGGTAGTGGAAGTTTTACTTCCATCAGGAGAAGTGCTGGAATGCCGAGAGCTTTATATGCAGATTCCGGTTAGTATTGAAGGGGTTGATTTTGTTACTAACTTGTTGGGCATCAAGCTATCCGAGTTCGATGTAATATTGGGGATGGATTGGTTAGTGGCATATCAAGCTCAATTTGATTGTCGAAAAAGATCAATTTCGCTGGTTGGAGCGATGGGCGAACAGGTGGATTATGCAGGATCTGCCAGACAACCTTCTATGAAGGTAATTTCATCCCTATCATTTCAATCATTTATTCGTAAGGGGTTTCCAGTATATCTGTGTGAGGTAAGAGATTTGACGCAAGGGGAGCAGCGATTGCAAGATATTCCTGTAGTCCGAAATTTTCCTGATGTATTTCCTGATGACATTCCGGGTATGCCACCAGCTCGTGAGGTGGATTTACTATTGATATTGTGCCGGGTGCTGAGCCAGTATCAAGGGCTCCATACCGGATGGCACCTTTAGAACTAGCTGAACTTAAATTGCAACTACAGGAATTGCTAGATAAGGGTTACATTCGGCCTAGTACATCGCCTTGGGGAGCTCCAGTTTTATTTGTGAAAAAGAAGGATGGAAGTTTGAGGTTATGTATTGACTACCGTGGACTGAACAAAGTCACGGTGAAGAACAAATATCCTCTTCCGAGGATTGATGATCTATTTGATCAACTGAGAGGTGCAACTATATTCTCAAAGATTGACTTGAGATCTGGATATCATCAGCTAAGGATTGCAGAGCATGACATTCCGAAGACAGCTTTTCGGACTAGATACGGGCATTATGAATTCACGGTTATGTCCTTTGGGTTGACTAACGCCCCGGCTGCGTTTATGGAGTTGATGAATAGAATTTTTCAACCATACCTCGATCAGTTTGTGGTGGTATTTATTGACGATATCTTGGTCTATTCCCCAGATAAAAAGACGCATGCAAAACATTTGCATGTAATATTAAACATATTGCGTGCAAGAAAGTTATATGTCAAGTTATCCAAATGTGAGTTTTGGTTGAAGGAGGTTGCTTTCTTGGGGCATGTTGTTTCTGGAAAGGGTATCTCAGTAGATCCTTCTAAAGTGGCGGCAATCTTGGATTGGCCAAGACCTACCAATCAATCAGAAGTAAGAAGCTTTTTGGGTTTGGCAGGATATTATCGGCGATTCGTTCTTGATTTTTCGAAGATTGCAAAACCATTAACTAATTTGCTGAAAAAGGATGCAAAGATTAACTGGGATCACGAGTGTGAGTCATCCTTTTTAGAATTGAAACATCGATTAACTTCAGCGCCAATTTTGGCTTTACCAGTGGAAGGTGAGGAGTTTGAAGTGTATAGTGATGCTTCGAAGCAGGGATTGGGATGTGTCTTAATGCAGAATCAAAGAGTTATTGCTTATGCATCACGACAACTAAAACCTCACGAAGAGAATTATCCGACACACGACTTGGAAATGGCAGCAGTGGTGTTTGCTTTGAAGATTTGGAGACACTATCTTTATGGAGCCCATTGCAGAATATTTACTGACCATCAAAGTTTGAAATATATCTTCACCCAAAAAGAATTGAATTTAAGACAAAGAAGATGGTTAGAATTGGTGAAGGATTATGATCTTGAAATTGTGTATCATGAAGGCAAAGCAAATGTTGTAGCCGATGCCTTAAGTCGAAAACCAAGGCATAACTTGGGCTTCATGTCGGTTGCTGATGAACTGTGCCAAGATTTAGCGCGGATGGAAATTGAGGTACTTGGACGGGGTATGACTCGGGGATATTTGCAAATGATACAAGTTGAGCCTGAAATTTATGATCGCATTAGAGCGGCTCAAATGGAAGATAATAAAATGGTTGAGCTTGCAGTGAAAGTTCAGTACGGTCAGACTCAAAATTTTAATATTGCTCCAGATGGGAGTCTTCGATTTCACGGGAGGTGGTGTATCCCAAAGGATCGAAATGATTTGAAAGAGCAGATTATGAGTGAGGCTCATAATACACCATACTCAGTGCATCCGGGGGGAAATAAAATGTATCATGACCTACGTCAACATTTTTGGTGGAAGGGCATGAAGAAGGATGTAGCCAAATTTGTTGCACGATGTTTAAATTGTCAAAAGGTAAAAGCAGAACATCATAGACCAATGGGGTTGCTACAACCTTTAGAAGTTCCACTCTGGAAATGGGATTCTATCGCAATGGACTTTGTAACAGGACTTCCAAGGTCAAAGTCGGGAACAGATGCAATTTGGGTAATTATAGACAGATTGACCAAGTCAGCAGTGTTCATTCCAGTACGTATGACTTGGAGTATGCAGAAATTGGCCAAATTATATGTTCGTTATGTGGTTAAACGACACGGTATTCCTGAGGTGATCATATCAGATCGTGATCCACGTTTTCAATCTCGATTTTGGCAAAAATTGCAGGAAGCCTTTGGTACTCAGTTGCATATGAGTACTGCATTCCATCCTATGACTGATGGTCAGTCAGAAAGAACTATCCGTATTCTGGAAGATATGCTAAGAGCTTGTGCTATGGAATTTCAAGGGAGTTGGGAAGACCACTTGGATTTAGTGGAATTTTCATATAATAATAGCCATCAAGCAAGTATCGGAATGGCTCCTTTTGAAGCTCTTTATGGTCGAAAATGCAGAACTCCTTTGAGTTGGGACGATATGAGTGATCGACTGATACTGGGTCCGGAAATGATTGAGGAATCGAAAAATAAGATTCGAATTATCAGAGAAAAGATGAAGGCAGCTCAAGATCGTCAAAAGAGTTATGCCGATAGAGCCCGACGTGAGGGTCAATTTCAAAGTGGAGATTTTGTCTTATTGAAAGTATCCCCAATGAAAGGTATTAGAAGGTTTGGGATTAAAGGAAAATTGAGTCCGCGTTATGTTGGACCTTATGAAATTGTCGATCGAGTTGGTGATTGGGCCTATCGGTTGGCACTTCCAAATTCTATGGAGCGTATCCATAATGTGTTTCATATATCTCAGCTTCGTAGGTATGTTGCAGATCCTTCTCATATTTTATCTCCAGATGAGATAGAGCTGAATGAAGATCTTTCGTATGAAGAAAAGCCTCTGTGGATCATGGACACAAAGGTCCGAACCATGAGGAATCGAGATATTCGTATGGTGAAAGTAATGTGGTCCAGACATGGAGCGGAAGAGGCCACGTGGGAAGTAGAACAAGAAATGTTCAAAGCATACCCACAATTGTTTAATTAAGTTGCCTTGTTATGTGTTTGAGTTTAGATTTCGGGGACGAAATCTTTTTAAGGGGGAGTGGATTGTAATGCCCCGATTTCGGAATGTATAAAATAATATTATTATAGCAAATAAATATTTGACAATAGTAATGGAATCAAGAAACTAATATTTTGGGATAAATTATATTCCAATTTTGTATATTAGTTATAATTAAATAGACTGTTAAATGGATAAATATCGATAAAATTAAAAATAAATATAAAATATAAAATATATAATAATATAGTGATAATAATAAAGGTAATTATGAGGAAGATAATAATAATAATAATAATAATAATAATAATAATAATAACGTTAATAATAATATAATATAATATAATATATATAATATATATAATAATAATATAATTATATATAAAAAAACAAGCAAACTTACCTGCGAAGCGAATGAAGGCAAAGGAAGAAACGCGAAGGAGAAGAAAGGAGAAAAAGAAAAGAAGAAAGAAAAAGATTTAGCCGTTCGATTTCGATTCCGATTTCGGTATTGTATTCCTTGTTATACGTAGAATTTAATTATGGATTTTAATATGAATTTCAATATTGGGAATATTAAATTAGAAATTCTTTAAAAAATTCATAACCGGCTATTTGGCTATTTGATCAACGAATTTCTTTAGCTAATAGCCTATTCGTAGTCCTAGTATTATATTCTGAGAATTTCGTATTGATCCGAGCCAAATTGAAAACGGCAGTATATCGCACCTGCCTGCTTGTTCATACCTTTGCGTATTTTTATTTAATAATCGGGCAATATAAATATTATGAGGTAGAAGGATTTTATAGCTAGAATATCATATTCTACTAAATATAAAAGTTTGGAGCCCGACGAGTTAATTATAGAAATTAGCTTTTGAATAAGCAGGTAGCTCCTGAGAATAAGCATAAAGCTCATCTGATTTGAGTAAATAATGGGACAGGTGTACGTTGGAGGAGATTTGGGTGAAGTTATAAAATCCAGAAAGTATCGGTAGGAGGTAAGCAGTAGGGAATTAAATCTAATTTTAAGAAATTAGGTATTTATGTTGCATGTGATTCTGATTCTGATATTGATATGATATTATGTGGAATCATTTGGTCAGTGCATCTATATATGTATATATGTGTGTGTATATGCATGTGTGAAACTTCGTTTTACGATATTCGATATACGTATTTGATCGTGTTGGTGAATTTATAAAAAGGAGGATAGGTGGGCCGTCTCACCAGCCCTTTTCATTAAATTCACTTATTGACATGCTGCACACATTGCACGATTTATCGAATATGTTTTATGGATCTATCGTTTAGTCGCCGTGTGCGGTAGTGCTAGGCGAGGGCATCATCTGGGGTTAGGATATTCGACCCCGATGTACCGTAACACTTTGGCGATAGTGGACGATAGTAGTCGGACAACTGGGTGACTTAGTCGCACGGTCATTCAGGGATTAGACCCATTGCAGTTGAGACGTATTTGGTCTAATCATTCGGGTTCGGTGTTGTTCCACTCATTGGAGTAGCTACTAGTGAGGTCTACCGGTAGTTTAGGATCAGATGCCAAACTCCAAACGCGATCCCGTTAGGGCGTGCGAGGAGGAGTAGAGTTTCCGGGTTTCCTTCGGGTGATTCCAGGTTGCACGGATTCTACTACGTTACACGGGGTAGGGCTAGGCAGGAGGGTCCTATCTTCGCTATCACAGACTATGGGGTGTCTTGTGGTTAATGGCGACAACGTTCGACTATCCATGTATTGATTGCGGGAGTCGTATGGTGGGTATATGGGAGTGACCGGGTGACCGTTATATTATTATGGGTTTACCAGGTCCTTCCTTGAGCCGAGGATTTTCCGGCTATTTATTGATGATAGTCTAGTGAGCTGTTATTATGGAGCCGAGGTTATTCCGGCTGCTCACTTTGACATATGTATATGGGTATATGTGCATGAGTTTTCGATTTTGACATTATTGTTACATTATTTCAGTATGGGCATGGCATGGCATTTATTTTGCAAATGACGGAAATTAAACTCTATTTTCGAGCATGACATGGCATATTTTATGTTAGTTCTTAAAATGGATTTAATTCTAGACTGCTTTTAAGAAAAATATTTGATTCAGGTACGCATGGCACCTCCGGGACAGGGGACGTCTCGGGAGATAGAAAGACGGGCTGAATGAGTGAACTGCATCTGATGTATTATATGTAAATTCTAACTAGAAAAACCTCCCGTTTTGGGAGTATGTTTTTGTAAATATTTATAAACTATTTTTTTTTTGGAATAATAAAATGCTTATATAATTAATTTTAGCCTTAACACTGTGTTGTGGGGCCCGAAGTAGGAGGTGACGACCTCATGATGCAGTGTGGCGGTAGCATTTCCAGTATGAGCCAACTGGGGGTGTTACAAGTTGGTATCAGAGCCTAGGTTTGATAGATTTTGGCTCTTTGAATTAAAAAGGTTTTGAAAATAATAATGATATTGAATTGGTTTGGTGAGGTTTGGGTTTTGCGGGTGCATTCATGTTAATGTGATCTATCTTTTATTGTTATGCTTGGTTTAGCTGTGTGCTGAATTGATATTGAATCAGGAAAAATTGGGGGCAGTATGTCGAATTCTCGAGGTGGTGGTGTACGTAGGGCTATTCAAGGCCCAGAGTTTGATCCTTCGTCTGATGAGTCACAGTATCCTGTGCCAGCGCATGTACCAACAGAGGCACCTAGTCAGGATTTCTTTCGGCAGTTTATGGCCGCGATGATGCCTCAACAGAGGAGTTTCATTGATGCTGTGATGCGGCATAACCCACCAACATATTCTGGTTCAGTGGAGCCAGGAGTCCTTGAGTTTTGGGTTGAAAAGATGGAAAAGATATTTCGTGTTGTTCAGGTTCCGCCAGATCAACGAGTTAATATTGGAGCCTATTTCTTGGAAGGCCGAGCAAATCGGTGGTGGTTAGGTGAAGAAGCTGCAGGTGTAGACCAAGTGGATATGACTTGGGATGAATTTAAAGCAAAGTTAAAGGCTAGGTTTATACCGTCGCATATTCGAAAAGCGAAGAAGCAAGAATTGCTGGACTTAAAGCAGGGCTCGATGTCAGTTGAGGATTATTTTGTGAAGTTTAATGAGTTGGAGATGTATGTTCCTGACTACTTTTCCTGTGAGCGAGACAGAATTGACCATTTTGTAGACGGGTTGCAACACAGAATTCAAGAAGCTTTAGCGGTGTTGGATATCAGTTCATTGTATGAGGCTTACGAGTGTGCTGCCCGATTTTATCAGAAGCAGGAAGTCAGACAAAAGGAGAGTGAGAAGGAAATAGGTTATCAACATCAGGTTCGAGATAAGGGAAAAGCTAAAGTGGAGGATGAGCCCAAGGGTAAAAAGAAATGGTGGCAAATGTTCAGGTCTGGGCCATCGTATAAGGGGATTTCGATTAATGAACCGAGTCAGGAGAGGTCTCAGCAATCGGGGACTGTTTGTCGGCGTTGTGGAACAAGCCACCCAGGTACTCGTTGTGATAAAGTTCCATTGACATGTTTTAAATGTGGTGGTAGTGGTCACATTGCCAGGTTATGTCCAAGTGTGGTAACTGCAAGGGAGTTTCCAGAACCGAGGTTTAGGCCATGGCAGCCGCCGTCTTCGCAGTCACAAGGGAGAGGATTAGGATCATCTTGGCTAGGGGGACGAAGTCAGTCACGTTCGTCATCTAGGCAGCCAGGCAGAGGACCTGACCAGCGTGGACGAATAAATGTTATTACCCAAGCAGAAGCTGATTATCATCCAGGTGAGGTTTTAACGGGTAGATTTCTGGTTTGCGGTTTTCCTGCTCTTGTGTTATTCGATTCGGGTGCAACGTTCTCGTTCATATCTAAGCGTCTAGTTAGACGATTGGGTCTGAATTCATCAGTAGAAGTGGTAGTGGAAGTTTTACTTCCATCAGGAGAAGTGCTGGAATGCCGAGAGCTTTATATGCAGATTCCGGTTAGTATTGAAGGGGTTGATTTTGTTACTAACTTGTTGGGCATCAAGCTATCCGAGTTCGATGTAATATTGGGGATGGATTGGTTAGTGGCATATCAAGCTCAATTTGATTGTCGAAAAAGATCAATTTCGCTGGTTGGAGCGATGGGCGAACAGGTGGATTATGCAGGATCTGCCAGACAACCTTCTATGAAGGTAATTTCATCCCTATCATTTCAATCATTTATTCGTAAGGGGTTTCCAGTATATCTGTGTGAGGTAAGAGATTTGACGCAAGGGGAGCAGCGATTGCAAGATATTCCTGTAGTCCGAAATTTTCCTGATGTATTTCCTGATGACATTCCGGGTATGCCACCAGCTCGTGAGGTGGATTTACTATTGATATTGTGCCGGGTGCTGAGCCAGTATCAAGGGCTCCATACCGGATGGCACCTTTAGAACTAGCTGAACTTAAATTGCAACTACAGGAATTGCTAGATAAGGGTTACATTCGGCCTAGTACATCGCCTTGGGGAGCTCCAGTTTTATTTGTGAAAAAGAAGGATGGAAGTTTGAGGTTATGTATTGACTACCGTGGACTGAACAAAGTCACGGTGAAGAACAAATATCCTCTTCCGAGGATTGATGATCTATTTGATCAACTGAGAGGTGCAACTATATTCTCAAAGATTGACTTGAGATCTGGATATCATCAGCTAAGGATTGCAGAGCATGACATTCCGAAGACAGCTTTTCGGACTAGATACGGGCATTATGAATTCACGGTTATGTCCTTTGGGTTGACTAACGCCCCGGCTGCGTTTATGGAGTTGATGAATAGAATTTTTCAACCATACCTCGATCAGTTTGTGGTGGTATTTATTGACGATATCTTGGTCTATTCCCCAGATAAAAAGACGCATGCAAAACATTTGCATGTAATATTAAACATATTGCGTGCATCTGATGTATTATATGTAAATTCTAACTAGAAAAACCTCCCGTTTTGGGAGTATGTTTTTGTAAATATTTATAAACTATTTTTTTTTTGGAATAATAAAATGCTTATATAATTAATTTTAGCCTTAACACTGTGTTGTGGGGCCCGAAGTAGGAGGTGACGACCTCATGATGCAGTGTGGCGGTAGCATTTCCAGTATGAGCCAACTGGGGGTGTTACAAAAGTTGTCCACTATATGTCAAAGACAGTATATGCGGTGGCCGGTGGGCTCTGAAAAATACGGTATAAATGGACTTTAGGAGTCCCAAGTTCCTATTCGAAAAAAGAATATACTCTTTCCAATCAATACTACCGTCAACATGACATACCCCAACTTTTAGCAAAACTATTACTAATTTTTATTCTTTTCAGTAGAAATCAATGTGTAGCAATAAGATTTTAATATTATCAAATATAAAGTACATGAAAAAAATATTAGAATTCATCAGTGATTGTTCATAGTATACCCCAACAATACCAGGGTATTTGCAAACAAAAATAGCCCACAATATTACATAACACGAGTATTGGATTAATAAATATAAGGATACTACATCAGAAAAAATATTTCATAGGAATACCCACGGATACTAGCATAAAATCACAACACATCGAATGAAAAATTAGCAAACATTGCAATCAAAATCTCGTAACAAGGCAACGATCTCCAAAGCATTAAGAAAATACTTGCTGGGAGATACTAAAGCGAACACACGATCGTTGCCATCAATTTATAGAGCAGTAGATAGACATCCTTTATATTTGTTTTTTCGAATATGTCCATCTACAAATACTTACCGTAAGCAAACGTTCGTCGATGATGGAGCACTCAACTTCACCACTCCATTCACTACCTTGGATCGCCGCCAAAATTTTATTGAAATCAATTGTCTATTACCAATATGGGTTGCCAGAAATACGATGATGTAAAGTTTTTTTTTTTGCGCAGAAATAAACCGAATTGATTCCCATCAATTGCAGAGTTGAAAGAAGGGTGAAATGAGTAAGAGGTGGGGAGTAAATCTCAATCATTTCCATATAATATAAATGATGGTGACAAAACTATTATGCTATTTAGTATTTATCTTTTTGAAAAAAAATATTAATTTATACTCCCTCCGTTCGTTTTTAAGGGTGACATTTACATTTTACGTCATTATACTTAATATTAAAATTATTTTTATATTTGTATAATTTTTTTTTACAAATGTCTTTCTATTCGTATTATAAGCCACAGATGAAAGTATTTTTGTAATTTTTTCTTAATTTGTACTATATTTTGATAAAATAATTAATATTAAATATTTCAAAAATAAATAGGACCTTATTTTTTTAAAAAAAAAAAAAAATAGCTTGCTCCTTTTCTTAACAAAAAGTTCAAATTATGAAATTTATTTGATTGTAATCTAAAATTAATTTAATAAATTTTTATTTAATAATATTTCGATATAATATTTTATAAAAGAAATAATTTTTTTTTATTTCAAACTATTTATTATCGGAGAATTTGATTAAAATCCCTCTGCCTAATATTGATTTGGGATTCAGTCCCTAATTTTAATTTCTTTGTATGCACTCCCTTTTTTTTCGTCTCACCCCCTATTCCTCTATTTTTCTCGTTCTCTCATTCTCTCATTCTTTGGTTGTTTTTCTTCGCGCAAAATTCTCCTAAAACCGTTGAGCCTTCTTCAGTGAAGCCGGAAGCAACCTCTCGTCCGATCGCCCAGTTTCTAGAAGTGCGAAAGATTCATTTCTCTTCTCTTCTCCCATCATCCGACGGGTTTCTCGCTCACTTTTCTCACGGTTCGACCTGTTCTCTGTTCCGTCGAATCGGTTTTCTATCGTCGGCGGTTACACGATTCGATAGGAGAAAGTCCAAGGGCTGTCACCGGTGATCTCGAAATCGACATATGGCGGTTCAATCGAAGAAATCCCAAGGTTAGTATTTATATCAATAGTGTTTGGACTAGTAAGAAAATTGCTAGTTTAGGAAAAATATTGTCGCGTGTTAAACTAGTAGGAATTTATAAATTAAGTATGAGTTTTGTAAAGTGGGTAATTTTTGGGTGATTTTGATAATGATTTTATTTTGTTATAAGGTATTTTTGTTCCTATTATGCGAAAGATGTCGTAATTGTTATTTTGTAAACCGGGTAATTTGTTGCTATCGAGGATTGCTACATTACTAGAATTCCATAAGAATATATAATTTTAGATAGTTTATTTTGTTTTGGATTCATACTATGTGTATATTAGTGAGATAAATATTTGAATGGTGCACTTTATGTGTTCGATAAAATGTCCCAAAAAAGGTTTGTCCTAATGTCAAGGAATTTTATAAATTATTTTCTAGAGTGTTGGGTTGTCATTTCTCTTTTAAAAAATATATGCTATTTGAAGATTTCAACCAACCGTTATACACTCAATGACATAATATTTATTGATGATCATGTCCGATTGATTGTGAGTTTTTTATTTGTGTTGATTATTTAAACTAGGTCATGTTCTTTGTGTGTGAAATATGACATGTTTTATATAGGTTTTTAATAGATAAATTTTTCAAAACTGAAAATACTCTTTTGAGCTCTTAAGTTGATCAATGTAATAGAAAATAAAGATGTGCCAACAAATACTCATACTCTAAACTTAGTCATTTACAATTTGTGTAATGATGAAATTATCGATGTAGTATTCAAAAAAATTTATGATGTGTCTATGAACTATGCATTTCCAAATATTTTTTCACCTACAATTATTTAGTTTTTTGGATTATGTGAGTTGATGTTTAGAGTTCTTATACGCATTAGAGTAAGGTTATCTCTTTATAGTAATTGCTACAATATTGTGATGATTAGATTGTGCATATAGAATAATTTTGATGGTCTGTACTATGTTTAACAATATTCATTATAAGAGCTTTGAACAATATATTGTATCATATTGATACAAAGATATGGCAATTATGGGTTGTATCTGTCGTGGCAAGTATCTTGAGAAGGTTTCATAGTTTCTAGTAATTCTCAATGAATCTTCTCTTTATTATAAAAAAATAATTTTATCTTAATCTTGCTTAAGTCTCCATATTTTGGGTTGCAGGGCGGATTAGTTGAAGCCAAATCGATATGCTGATTTGTACTAATTGTAAAATCGAATGGAAGAAAGTCATTTTCATTTGTTGCACTGAGATCCCTTGATCCAACAACAAAAGTCTGGTTGTAGGTGAATATACAACAACAAGAGTCTGGTTAGATAGAATAACAAATGTAACTAGAATGTACTACAGTATATGAACATGAACAAAAGGTATATGACAATCCTGTTTTATGTATAATAATTTGATAACACAGGTTTCTGAAAATTTAACAGAGGTATACAAATTATTTGGGGGGTATGTAGTTGATGTGTCAATGCACATTGGTGTGATAGCGTATTACCACCCACCATTTTAATATAATCTTGATAATTAATTATCAAAATAGGAGGAAGTACTTGTCATATTGTGATACATCCCTTAGATCCATATGCAAAGGATTGTAAACTCTTATTTTATTTTGGAATCTATCATTGATACTTTTGATCATTTTGTAAATCCTCACAAGCATTTATTAAAAGTATGTAGGTACCTAAAAGTGGAGTTCAGGTAAATATGTTGGAAAAAAATAGTACATTAAAATAAAAATAGGGTACATCGGAGACATGATGGAGTACTTGGTTTTTCAACTGAATTATTATTTTTTAAAATGCTCTTAAAAAGTTTTTACTTGAGTTTGTAAATATCTAATAGGTTGTATTGAAAGACCATTAGATTTATTAAATATTCTCTCTGTCATGACTAATTATGCACTTTTTCTTGAGCACGAAAGATAAAAAATAATAATATTTTTGTATAAGAGTGATGTACGTAAAAAGTAAAATAAGAGTATTATAAAATATTTATTAAAAATGATAATTAAAAAAAGATGATGTCATAAGTAGGAGTGAGCAAAATACCCAAATTGAACCTTCAAACTGCTAAATCGAAAAGCGTTTTCCGTTAATCGAGCAAATTCAGTTCCATATGGAAAGGATTATGAATCTTTGTTGTCGGAAAAAATTATCGAGAGAACACTAGTTTTAGGAGTGTATATATGCATTCAAAAAGATATTATCCGTAAATAAGTAGATATTTTTGAATTTAGTTTAGTTGCTACATGAAAAAATGCAATAGTTACACAATAAGTATAATTTTGTACATCAAGCCAAATGGGGGGTACGTCAGAGCCGCTCTGGAGTACTCGTCTGCTTAGCCGAGTCATGCCCTATGCAAATATACTCCTAATTGAATATTATTGTGTGTGCTACAATGTGGACTACTATTAAAGATTTTCAATTCGTGGCAGCAATAATATACTCTAACAACCCAACATAATTTAATTTAGTCATTTATGACTTGTTTAGACATCTACAAATGGAGATTGGGCTATGATTTTACATATATCATACAAGTCATTTATGACTTATTTATCCATCGATAGTAAATGTGTGTTGTTTATCTTTTCATACAACTCAGGGTATCGTGAGAACACTATCATGATGAATTCATCTATGATTACCGATAACAAGTGAATATTTCAAACTAAAAATGGTCGATTTCCCAAGCAAAAGTAACTAGGACATATATACTCGTTACTGGAGCATATGACACCACAATTATAGGTATATAAGATATGCATGCGCAAGGGTATGTCTGCATTTGATGCAAGTATGCAAGTATGTGCTTCAGATACAAACACCAACATTCAAGGTATGAATGATAGTTGCTTAGGTATTATCTGTGTAGTAGCAGGTATCCTTGAGTGTAGTTAATTTCAGTCAATCATTTGACGGATGAGCCAATTCACGAACTTGATGAGAGTAATTCCTCTAGCTCTGATGGAAAATTTTGGGCATGGTACATTTACATTCAACAACTCATGCCATATTTTTCAATAGGAAGACCACAAAGCATGTATGAATAACAACCAATATAATTTAACTAAGTATTTTCTGTCTTGTTTATCCATCTATAATAAATATATGTTGTTTACCTTTACATATAGTTCTAGGATTCGCGAGAACTCTATAATGATGAATTCATCAATGGTTACCGACACAACAAATTGAGAATGATCGGTTTTCAAGCACAAGTTACCAGGGCATAAATACTCGTTACCAGAGTATATGAAATTGTATTATATGTACGTAAAAACTACTTACGGGCAGTTGATATTTAATGAAGGTATGTAAAAATGTGTTCTGGCTACGAGCATTAACAATCAAGGTATGATTGATGGTTGCTTAGATAGTATTTATGTAGTAGCAGGTATCTTTGAATGTGGTCGACTTCAGTCAATCCTTGACGGATGAGGCAATTAAGGAACTTGGTGAAAACATTTCTTCTATTAGCAATTCTTCACTTCATTAGTGGTTGAGAGAAATGGCAGCGACTGGGAGAGCATAAACCTTCGCAACACATGTATATAATTTTCTTAGTGCACCATTAATGTACTTAAGTATCCGTGAATGCACTTTTGTTCATTGCAAACATTATTTCAACCATTGCAAGGTCTTGTAATGAATTAGTTAATTTCAATTTAAAATTCGTATGCATAACTTTTCTGGTTGGTTGCGGTCTTCGTACAAGGATAACATTCCTAACTAATGGGTACATTTATATGAGCATATATATGTATTTTGAAGGTATTTCGATCTAGTTAGACGGATACATCGATCCGTTGTGGAGGTACAACATATGCATTATTGCAATTCTAACCATGTGAACAATTAATCATACAATCATTTATGACACAATTCATAGCATTACTCCAAACATTAAGTTTTACCAAATTCAACCTACAATTCAATCCATCAATCAATCTTAATACAATTCCATCAAACATGAGGCAAATCAAACCAATTTAACTAACAATTCAATCATAAAATAATGCATTAACCAAATCAAGTACAAATAACACAACCCAAATCAATCCCAAATCCATCTAAATTCATTACAGACGTTCACTTACCCTGTGCTGCTCATCAGAGTCTACGATTTAGAGGGCGGACCTTTCATTATTCTGGCCGTAATTTTACTGTGGTAGCTCTTCACATTATCAAACTCACCGTCGATGCTACCAATGAGATGAACTGCGGATTTGTGTGGGCGTAACACTTGTCGAACATGCAGACCAAAGGACCACAGTAAGGAGTATCACCTTGATTCCGACATCCTACGTACTCGGGCATCTCCCTTACCATGGGTCATAGGTATATTACGTTCATGTACAAGCATAAAAATCACGTTTGTAAAAATAATATAATATTTTGTTACGTAATTAGGTTTATCTATGGTAAATTAATTATATTTATTTCGTAAACGTACCAATTTCTCTGCGTTCCCTTGCCCGAACGGATCGCATAGTGAATTGAATAACAAGCATAATCCGACCTACGATCTGTAAATAAATACCATCAATATATTACCCAAATCTGAATATATTTAAAAATTTATCAGAATCTATCAGGAGTACGTAACAATACATTTCGAGTATACATTAGTCCCTAAAAGTAAATTACTTAGCAAACAAGACCTAAAACTGCAACTCAGGGTACCTAATAATACCACATATGCCAACCCACAAACATGACTTATTACCGAACAATAAAAAAAAAAACAAAAAAACAAAAATATGCAACTACGGATAACTAAACAAAATGTACATCTACAAAAATAACAAAAAACACATATTAAACAAATAAAATCACCAAATATCGGTGCCAAAATAAAAAATGCAACTCGATCTACATAGGCAAATATACGAACGATTTTAAACCCGATTAACAAACACAACTACATCGATCACACAGGGCTCCTCAACACCGAACCGAGACATAAACACAAGACCAAGACTTACACCCCAAACAATCGAACAAACTACAGTACAAAATACTAGTATCAACAAAATCAAAAATCGAAAAAGGTCCAGCCAGGAGCTTACTTCTTCGAGCTTGTCTCGAGGATGGGAGCGGTCAACTGTTTTCTTCAGCATTTTTGCACCAACGGGTCGCTACTTGACTGCCAAGGGTTGAAGAAAGTTGGTTCACTTGAAGAAGAGATAAGTAGGGTTTAAAATTGGGGTAAGAGAAGTTATAAGATATTTTCTTCCTAAACCCTTGTTAAATCGTGGGTAACTATCTTTTTCTTTTTCATTTATTTTTTAATTTGCGAAAAAAGTATACGATATTTAACTAAAAGTATATAAGAATATAATTGGAGTAGAGCGGAAAATAATGTAGGTATATCTTACTATTGGAAGTATTGATCTATTTATTTCGAGTACTTATTGCGTATATAATAATTAGGGGATAAATACAAATTGGGAGCTATAACATACATAATCCATAAAGTAGCGATTGCATACTAATTCATTTTTAACCGGAACTAAATTATAAGTGAATTTAAGTGACTGAGATTTTAATCCCAACTCTCCCATTTATTATTTCAAAAAAAACCTTAATATCATCAATGACTATAACCATTAATTTATGTGAGTTGCTTTTTTAGTACGAGTGAGTGGTGATCATCACAGAATTTTGAATATTCATATTCCTTTTATTAAGGCTTAGGCCTGGCCAGATGCTCCTGCAAAAAGTTGGGTTTCTTTTTTTATCTTTTTGAGGGTTTACTTGTTCGGCGCAGCTTAATTGAATTTGAGGCAGCAGCAATGATAATGAAATAAATGACTGATTGATTCATGGATTTTTTATAATTACGAGATTGACGTAAAATGCCAACAAATTTGTGACTGATGGATGACCATAAATCACAAATGACGGGACTCTCTCATCACCCTGAATTGTCTGTCATCTTCTATCTCCATCCACACCCAGAATCTCCTCTTTCTATTTACCTCCAACAAAGTAAAGTTAAGAACAAAAAAAAGTCGATTTCTTTTTTTATGAATACTTTTCTGGCCCCGATCCCATCACACCGACCCCACCTCACGTAATAAGTACAAATCTTACTCAACTCATAGCCACCCTTGCCCCTCCACTCCACAGACTACAGATTCTATTCGATCAGAAGATTTTGATCTGAAAACAAAACCCTTTGCCTAGTTTTTTGCTGCAGAATCAATGGCGAGACCCGAAGAGCTGCCGGTGCCCATTTACAAGTCTCTGGATCCTGTTTATGGAACCGGGTCGCAGCTTGAAGAGGCAGAGCTCCGATTCCACAATTTGAAGGCCAAATTCACTGAATTCTTTGGGCAAGCCCCTGATGTCTATGCTCGATCGCCAGGTATTGATCAAACAGGGATTCTAACTTAATTGCATATTGTTTCCTTGGAATTGTTCTTCGGGAGGGATTTTGTAAATTTTGGGTATATTCTTGGGAGAACTATTTAATTGGAAGTTTGATTTGGGGATTTCTTGTAGGGAGAGTGAACTTGATAGGAGAGCATATCGATTACGAAGGTTACTCAGTGCTGCCTATGGCGATTCGGCAAGATACGATTGTGGCAATTCGAAAAGTTGAAGGGGAGAAGATTCTTCGAATTGGAAATGTGAATAGTGACAAGTTTTCAATGTGCACTTATCCTGCTGATCCTGATCAGGTCTGTACATAACTACATTATTCATATGTATTCCACCATAGACGAGTAGTCAAACTATTAGCCCCTTATTGTATTTATGAGTAGCTGTTGAAGAAGATCATCTTATTTTTTCAGGAAATTGATCTGAAGAATCATAGATGGGGTCATTATTTCCTTTGCGGGTATCTGCTCTGCTGCTTGTGTTATCTAATGAATGTTTTCGAATAATTGTTTATAGAAGTTTCTTGATTCCATTTCAGGTATAAAGGTTTCTATGAATATGCAAAGTTAAAGGGGATCGATGTTGGCGACACTGTTGGACTTGAGGTGGTTGTTGATGGCATTGTTCCGACTGGTAATTTCATGAGCTCTCTAAGTTTTAATGAGGCTGCAAGTTTATGTAAATGTTTCTTGTTCTCATTGTGATCTTTCTTATTTCTTGTAGGATCCGGGCTATCAAGCTCTGCGGCGTTCGTTTGCTCTTCTACAATTGCTATAATGGCAGTCATGGGTGCAAGCTTTGCCAAGGTGCTTCATTGATTCTTGAAATATAAATAACTTTTACACAATGCTTTGATTCTCATTTTCTCATCAAGCTTCACATAAAAAATCGAACTTATCATTTTTATATGTTGAATGTAGTGAAGTAGCAGTAGATTGATCATTAAAAAACTCTAAACTTCATCGAAAACAGAGTATTTCTGTGTATAGTGAAGATCATCTATTTCTTGTTTATAATATTGTTTTGTTTCGATTTCCAGAAAGAACTTGCTCAATTGGCTTGCGAATGTGAAAGACACATTGGAACTCAATCGGGTGGAATGGATCAGGTTTTTTAAATTAGCTGCATACAAGAACGAATCTGTATCTTGTATTGGATTGTAACTTGTTGCTTCATGGACAGGCAATATCTGTGATGGCTCAATCGGGCCTTGCTGCACTGATCGATTTCAATCCTATTCGTGCGACTGAGGTGCAACTCCCGGCCGGTGGGACATTTGTTATTGCACATTCTCTTGCCGAATCTCAGAAAGCCGTCACTGCTGCAACTAATTACAACAACAGGGTTGTTGAATGTCGATTGGCTTCTGTGAGTATAACACAAGCTTTGATCTTCGGCAAACTTATGAATTGAGAACACAAATATACAAGTAGTTAACGACGTGTGTTGATATGCCTTAAATCTAATTTGTCACTTTTGAGTTTTCATAGGGTCTCATTGCCTGGTCAGCGAGTCGGGGGGTCAAGGGGTTCCCCTTGCCTGAGGTCCAGGGCGCGGAGTGGCCCCCGGCCTGAGTTGCAAAATTGGGCTTGAGTTCATATTGAGCTGAACCTGACTGATATAGTCTCCTAGGGTGTGTTTGATATAAAAAAATGAAAATAAATGGAAATAACCTGGTTTCTGAGAAATAAATCATTTTTCATTCTTTGATTTCATTTATGTGTCACATGCAAAGAAATGCAGAAAATTGAATAATGATGCAATTGATTTATTTTTATTTTTTTATTTTTTTATTTTTAATTTTACAAAATATTACATTTAATTTTTTATTTAAATATTTAATTATTACCATTTTTTTTAAAATTACACTAATTTAATTTTACAAAATATTGTATCTAATTTATTATTTAAACATTAAAAAGTTACCAAAAATATTTATTATATTCTCACTCGTCAAAATTCTTTCTTACCGAAGTAATCATTTATTATAGATAGATTTGTACTCGTTTACATTTCTCAACTTAATTTTCTGTTTTCACTGAACAAAAGAATTAATTTTCATTCTCTACTTAATTTTTTTTTTTTTATCAATTTCATTCTCTATTCTTATTTCTCAGCAATTTCATTCTCTATACAAGTACAGGATACCCCTTTAGTTTATTTGAATAGATTTAGAGATACATAATGTGTAACCTGTAATTTTGTCGTCTTCAATAAAATCCGTTCTTTGTTTCTGCTGTGGACATAGTCAATACGTTGTTGGTGAACCACTTAGTGTCTTTTTTATATTTTTTGTTATTATTCAATCATTAACCTTAATCTGTCGTAACAACGCCGGCTACTGCAGATTGTATTAGGCATTAAGCTTGGGATGAATCCTGAAGAGGCCGTATCAAAGGTCAAGACACTTTCAGATGTCGAGGGGCTGTGTGTAGCATTTTCCGGCACAAACGGATCTTCAGACCCGATTCTTGCTGTCAAGGTACTTGTGGACATTTTCGAATCTTTCTAAGGTTAGAAATTTGACGAGGCAGCATACATGTGTAGGAATTCTTGAAGGAAGAACCTTACAGCGTCGAAGATATTGAAGCAATTGTGAATGAAAAGCTGCAGTCGATCTTTTCCGAATCTCCTTCTTCCTTGGATGTGTTGAGAGCTGCAAAGGATTTTAAATTGCACCAGGTGAGGTTTCTATTCAGTTTCGTTATTGGACAGAAGTGTTTATGAAACTGCTAGCTTTTGTTGTCGTCTTTTAAGGTACCCTTGTCTTAATTTTGTTAATAATGTCTGTAAACATGTTTCTAGAGGGCTGCTCATGTGTACTCAGAAGCCCGACGTGTCTATGCTTTCAAAGATGCTGTTCTAGCAGCCTCAAGGTGAGCTAAACTTTAGTCGAATTTTATTCATACATAAAAAATAAGGACAAGAACCATAAGTCATCGTTGGATCAATTCTTATACCATCATATATGTTTGTGATGATCGACAGTGAAGAAGACACGTTGAAGAAGCTCGGTGACCTGATGAACGAGAGCCACTATAGCTGCAGCGTCTTGTACGAATGCAGGTGCGCGTCGACACAACTCATCTTACAGATTTTGCAGAGACAAAAAAGATTCTATGTTAGTGAATGTCTGAAAACAATGCTGCTGTGAAACCAGCTGTCCTGAGCTTGAAGAGCTTGTCAAGATTTGTCGCGACAATAGCGCCCTCGGGGCCAGGCTCACCGGAGCTGGATGGGGTGGTTGTGCCGTCGCACTCGTCAAGGAGAACATCGTTCCTCAGTTCATCCTTAACTTGAAGGTAATTAAACTCTATTCTTTCTATATTTTTTTCACACTTTTCTAAAAAGAGAATTAATACACTACAAGTATTTATTATTTTTATATTATTTATACAATTGTATATATCAAACATAAAAAGATTTACTTTTCAACAATTTTACAAAAACAAACACACTCTTAGCTTCACAGTCTAATCTATTATCTTAGCTTTATCACCATGGATTCCTTCACTAACTGCCATTGCAATTTCAGGAGCAATTTTACCAATCGAGGATCGACAAAGGGGTGATAGAAAAGAGCAATCTTGGAGCCTATATCTTCGCCTCGAAGCCGTCTAGCGGCGCCGCCATCATCAAGCTTTAATTCAAGAACTGCTACTGTATTGCAATGGTGTTTTTTTATCTTCTTATATTTCCTTTACCAGAGAAATCTGAAACTATCAATCTGCTGCAAATTACATTTTTTTAACAAAACTCGATCCATTGCTTTTTGTTGAGTTTGTTTTACTGGAAAGTCTGGTAATTGTCTGATCCAAATCGTTATTTAATTAGGATAAGTAAGGCCCCTGCCCCTGCCCACCTCACCCCACCTGCAAATTGTTTATTTATTGAAAAGTGTGGTGATGGAATTTTATTGAGGATGGCACGTGCTTCTCCCTCACTTGTTGAAGTTGGAATAATACAGAAATGAATAGGATTTAGTCAGCTGATTGTTTGTGGAGTTGAGGGGTTGTCGGTGGAGATATTATTATAGTATTAAGTTGAGACAGAAGAGAGGCAAGCTCTGATGAGAGCTTGAGTTGAGTTGCTGCAATGGTGGAAGGCTGTCTCTGTCTGTCTGTCACTCTCAAATTCAAATTTCAGAGCTACTTTTCATAAATAAAGAAGAGAGCAATTAAGAAGGGCCAACTATGAAGTATCATCATCATTTAAGTATGTCTGAATTATGATGATGATGATCTCCACTTTCCTGGCTGTTGCCTCCGACTCAGAGCCCCAAACCCTCGTGCGCATATCCCCATTTGTCTCTTGCAATCTCTCTCTCTCTCTCTCTTCACTCTTCACTCTTCTCTCTCTCTCTCTCTCTCTCTCTCTCTCTCAAAGTCTATATATGATATATCATTACATCTTTGCATTCTGTCGGTGAGGAAGTTGCTAGTAACTCAAATTGATGAATCTTGAATGTTTTTGCTTCAAGATTCATCATCAGACAGCTTTTCAGAAGCTTTAATTTGGAGAACATTGCCTTGCTTGGATCTGGGCTAGCTTCTTAATTTGCTTTCTTTTTCCTCAAAGGTACTCCCTTTTTCTTGTGCTTGTTGAAATGGTTCCTCTAATGGCGGCTTAGCTTGGTCCTCTTCTGACCTTCCATGCTAATAATTGATTGTCCTTGTATACTTCTCGTCATTATTTATCCCCATTTCGTTTCCCAGCAAAATAATTAGGTCACAGACTTACCTCTATCATACAGATTGATGCAGGAAGCTTGATCTCGATTTCTCCGATGAAAGACACAGATACTGTAATTGACATAAAGCCTGTCTCTGTGGATCACTCAATTATTGAAGAAGAAGCGATTGCAGTTTCTGTGACAGTGAGTATCGATGAATTAGCCTCAGGCAATGTTGAAAATGGAGTAATTAGCTTGCAGGCGAGCAACGTGAAAAATGTCAGCGGTGGAGGTACGCCGGAAAATAACAAGGGAAAGCATAATAGCGCAAAGAAGCCGCCGCGGCCACCGAGGGGGCTGTCGCTGGACGCCGCCGACCAGAGGCTGATCAAAGAGCTTTCGGAGCTGGCGATGATCAAGCGTGCCCGAACTGAACGGATCAAGGCGTTGAAGAAAATGAAAGCGGCTGCTGCTAAGGCATCATCCGCTTCGTCTTCCTCGTCTTCAGCAGGGAACTTCGTGGCTCTGCTCTTCACCATTCTGTTCTGCGTTCTGTTCATCTTCAGAGGTAAAGAATATTTTACTACTTCTTGATCTCAATTCTCTGTGTTTTTATTTCATGGTTGTGTATTGTTATTATTAATTAGGTTGCCAGCCTCCTGAGGGAAGAATTGCTATGGTCGGTAGTAATCTCAACGCCGACAGCACAAGCGTACGTAAATTAATTCGATCTTGCACATGTGTTTTTTTTTTTGCACAAAATTAATTAGTTAGTCAATTGAGAAATGTCTCTTCGTTTTTCTGTTTGTTGTGCAGCAAATATGAGATACCAATCAATGGTGTAGGATCGTATCAATCATCTTACTTCTTCTTCTTCGTCTTCTTCGTTTTGTGTAAGAATAAATGTGTACATAGATCGATGGATCGATTATCGTTTATTCAAAATGTCAAAACAGAGACAGACACACAAACACACACAACACAGACCTGGCAATGATGATGACGATGATCAATTAAACTCAATTCAATTAAATTCGATTGATTTCGATTATGATAAATAGGATTTGGCGATGGCGCCATTGCCGCCTTTGGGGTAGAACCCCCCGGGTATCTTCTCGCTGCCGGTTCCATAGACGATGCGGAGAATCTCCTCCGGCGTACGGTCGTAGGCCACGGAGTATTGGTCTCCGGCGAGGACATTGCCCTGGATCTTACCCTCGGCGCCCTGTAAGAAGGGGACAATCAGCCCTTCATCCTTGATGCCCTTCTTCCCCAGAATGTTCCTCAGGTTAGATATCCTGTCGGTGAATTCCGCCACCGTCACGCCGTACGGATACACCTTCTGCAGCGCCCGCTCGTACAGCAGTCCCCTGATCACTGCGTCCTGCCCTGACTCCACCCCCAGCAACCCCGCCACCAGCTGAAATAAAGACACAAATCATTAATGATCAAATAATAAATAAAAATATATAAAAAAAAATACAAATTTACTTGATTCAGCAAGTGAATAACAGATTTCTTCGAGATTACTAGGTTACAGATTATTACGACTTCCCGTACAAAATTAATTTAAATTGTATATATATATATAAGTCTATTCAAATAAATTAAAAAAATATATCAGCACTCAAAAACTCAATATTACATACTGTCAGGTCTGGGCCGCCCCCAACACCCCACCCCGCAAAATATCAGCGAAACGACAAATTAGATTAAAAATATATATAAAAAGATACATACCCTTCGGGAGGCGGGGCCTTGGAGTCTGGCGTTGGCGCCGACATAGCCGGTGAGTCCAACGTAGGGGATGACGTAGGATGCAATGAGATAGTTGACGTCATTAGCGTAAGGATCGAAGGGAGGGATTAACGGCCTTCCAAATGCGCTGTTCATTATCGCCGCGAACGCTTCTTTGCTCAGATTCAGCAGCGGCCGGGGGAATCCCGCCACCGCCTTTTGTATCGCCCTGAATTAATTAATTAGATAATTAATGCACCAGGCCAATCATAAATGTAAATGACAGTAGCATTAATTAATAGTAACCTGAGATGTCCGAATTCTTGGAAGGCAAATTGAGCAATGATGTCTCGGATAAGGGGGGTGAGTTTGGCCATCTTGGCCCCGTAGGGAGGGGGGCCTCCCTTGGTAAGATTAGGCTCGAAGCTGTCGAGGCCCCTCCCGAAGGCCCCCCATGCGAAGAATTCAGCTTCCAGAAACTCCAAGTTTAGAGGGAACTCGACAAGGCTGATGTCCGATTTGGGCACTTTGCCGAAGGAGAACAGATCATCTTTGTAATTATTGGCCCCGACGAGGAGGAGATGCAAGAAGAAAAGAAAGATTATTGGAGTAGCAGTAGTAGTGGCCATTCAGAATGTATTAATATTATTATTACTTAATAAATTAGGGTAGGATGGATGAATTTGATCTGATCTTGATCTTGATCTGAGTTGGTTTGGTGTTAAAAGGGTGTGAAGTGTAGAAGCGTATTTATAGCGGATGGATTGGCGGAGGGGGAAAGATCGAGTCTTTGATTGATGTAATAAGAAACACTTTGGTTACATGTAATTTAGGGTATTCCATTTTAAATTTTTATTGGTTTTTAAAAAAAAAATCATAAAGTCTATCCATTTCCATTTAGGGGAGTATTCCATTTTAGATTTTATTGGATTTTAAAATTATTATAAATAATTCTAAATTAGAAAATTATTAGAACCTATCTAAAATTTAATGAATTTTATGAATTGATTTAAATAGATTTTTGTAGATCTGATTGAATTATTTATAAATTTCATATGATTGTAAAATACTTTATCATTGATTTATACGCGTTTTCCGTCCCTTCTACGTTTAAGTTGGGCACGGATTTTAGATGAGAAGTATTAAGATAATTGAGTAACTAGGTGATGTGATTGAGAGAGAAATGTATATTTTATTATTTTATTAAGTGATATGATAGGATAAAATGTGAGAATATAAATTAAATATAATTAATTTTTTCTTAATTTAGAAATGTTGCAGGGTGTTTGTCACATACCAAACGAAATATTGCACGGTATTTGGGACGGGAAGGGAGTATAATTTATATAAATTTGAAATATAAAAAGATATTCAAATAATTAAATAAAAATACAATAATGTAGATAAATATATATAGACTATTACATTTTTACAAAATAAAATATACCGAATATATATTATATATTATTAATGATATATAATATTTACAGCATAGTACTATTTTTTGTCTTTTTATATTTTTTATTATATTATTTTTAATATATTAATTTATTTTAATTTGTCGAAATTTTAACATAATTTTATTATATGTGTATATGTATTATTATTTTAACAAATTCAATATGAATAACAATGGGATAAAATAAATATGGAGAAAAATAATGTTTCATTGTCAAGTGATTTTGAATTCAAATTCTTTGTTAATTTAAAATTTCAATAAAAATATATTTTTAAAAAATTTACAAATAATGTTATATAATATTTTAATTTTTAAAATTATTATCATTTTCACCGAGTACATTTAAATTTTTGAAATTTTATTATATTAATAAAATATTATAGTAATATTATCATAGTATTATCATAATATTTATCACGAATTATTATTATATATATTTTAAAATTCATCAAAATACAGAAAATTTTTATATTGTACTATTTTTTTATAATATTTCATTAAAATCCAATTAAATTCACATATATTTAAAGTTTATAAATTATTAATATTGTAAAATTTTAAAAGAACCATGGCTCGGAGATTTAAACCATGTCCTCACGATCGAATACTTGTCCGTCCTTAATTTAATTTAATGTGGATAGAGGTTCATCCGACATTTGGCAATGTGGATGATGTCACATATAGAGAGAGAGGCATGGAATCTGACTAACATTTCTTCGCGAGTGGAAAACTTATTCTCTTCATACGTAGTTAGTAGTATTATAATCCCCAACAGATTTGGTCAGCACACCTATATGGAAATTTTCCAGTCTTCTTTCTTATCTCGAACAAGTACACACCTGGAAAAAGATGATAAAACAACTAATAATAATAATAATAAATAAATAATAATAAAGTCTCCACGGTCATGGATTCAAACCCCCGACGTCTCAAGTCATCTGCCACGCATGGTTCGCTTAAAGTGACTTTTCTGTCAGACCTGGTTTGCAGAGTATTAGGTTCAGCCGGAGATTTATTCAGTGCGCACTTTCGGGTAGCAGCTGCGAATTCCCATGTCATCCTAAATAAATAAAAATTAATAATAATGATGACATGGCATGTGTGAATTATAGCAATAGTCGGAATCTCCGACGGTTACTACTTGGATAATTATTAGGTAATTTTTTGGTGAAACATAAAATTTGTTTTTTTCTAATATTTTAAGTTAAAATTAATAGTATTAATTTGACATAATTTTTAATAAAAATATACTCCCTCCATCCACAAATTAACGTCTTACTTTCTTATTTGGAATGTGCAATAATTATTGTCCTTTTTCTATTTTTATACACAAAATTTACTCTTTTACTCTTACTTTATTCACTCTTTCCTTTTTTATATACAAGATTAAGGACAAATTTGTCATTTTATAAAAAATTCTAATTACCTAAAAATACATATAAATATCAAATAGAACATTAGAAAATTGACGGAGGGGGTATATTATATTATTATCAAAATATTATTTGAACAAAAATCAAATTATACCTCATTTAAAATCAATTTCAAATCACACACACCGAAACAAATCCCATTGTTATGTATGAAATTTAGAATTAGGTTAAAAAGCCCAAGGTAAAAGAAAAATGGGCCTGACATTAGAGTTGGTTGAACTGGCTCAAGGAAAATAGGTTTATTTCTAAGGAAAGTCCTCAGGACGGAAGGACCTCAGGTCGGTAGGTCCTCAAGACGGAAAGACCTCAGGTCGGAAGGTCTTCAGGTCGGTAGGTCCTCAAGACAAAAAGACCTCAGGTCGGAAGGTCTTCAGGTCGGGAGGTCCTCAAGACGGAAAGTCATCAGGACGGAAGGACCTCAGGTCGGTAGGTCCTCAAGACGGAAAGTCATCAGGACGGGAAGTCCGCAGGTCGGGAGGCCCTCAGGACGGGAAGTCCGCAGTTCGGGAGGCCTTCAGGACGGGAAGTCCGCAGGTCGGGAGGCCCTCAGGTCGGGAAGTTCTCAGGTCGGAACTCTGCGGCAGGACCAACAAATCGGATGGTTTGTTAGTCGGGATGTCTGTAGCTAATCCAAACAAGTCAGATGGTTTGCAAGTCGGGAGGATTGGCAGTCGGACCAATACTGTTGTAGATTGGCAGTCGGGCCTAAAGGGCGGAAGGTCTGTGGTCGGCTCAAAGAGTGAAATATAGGGATAATTTCGGTTTGCTGAGGACACGTGTCAGCAGGAGAAGGGTTGGAAGACGGTTGGGAAGGAGACGTTGTAACCGTTCGGGTGACGGTTTTCAGTACGGTTTCCCAGAGAATATTTAAGGATTTGGATCATCATTTGGCAAGGGATCTTCAATCAACTTCAACAAAGCAAAGTCAGATTTGGGGATCACCACTTTAAATTTCAGTCTTTTATTTTCCAGTTTATTTTCTGTACCATACAGTGTTTAGAGATTCCTAATCTCAGGCACTAATTAATCAAGTTTAAGGATATTTTCTATATCTTTGAATTTTACTTTATTTTTGTTGAAAAATTACATCAACAAATTGGCGACCACAGTGGGAGCAAGACACAATTGCTCATTCCAATTCCGGCGATAATTTCATACGTCTTAGATCCGGCCGAATCATCGGAAGGGTCCATATGGCAGGTTCACAACCACAATCATCTTCGGCACCGGTGGGAGAATCCGTTCCACCACCTATTGTGCCAAATGCCGGGGAAAATCCACAACCACCAACTGATTGGAGGTCTTATGTTCAACATATGAACAACCAGCAAACTTTGGTTATGCAGAACATGTTGCGTGAGCAACAGAATCTGATGCAGAACATGTTAGATCAAGCACTGTCAAGGGTTAGTCTTCAACCCACTCAAACTCCACCAGGAGTATCACCGTCCAGACTACAGACAAATTTCGCAGGGCCATCATTCGTGGATAGTACATTCCCAAGTGCCACAAATCCCAACCGAATGGATAGGGAAAAATCTCCTCTGACTTTTCCCAACACTGTTCCACTGGGACCAAGGGTTACCAATCCGCAGCCGAACAATACAAGGGAGGACAGGCCTGAAGGATATATACATGATCCTATTCATATTCCTGTGCAGGATCCGTTCCATGTTCCTGACCATCAACGCTTTCATGTAGATCCTGATGAGATTGCACATATATTAAGGGATCAGTATGGATTAACTCCTCAGATGGCTAACCGCCCTGCATACCAGAGACCTTTCCCAGAAAGGATCATTAATGAACACCCTCTCCCAAGGAATTATCGACCACCCGATTTTCATGCATTTTCAGGGGAGGATGGATCTTCCACCATAGAACATGTTGGTCGTTTCACAGCACAATTGGGAGAAGTGGGTAATAACCCGTTTTATAAGTTGCAACTGTTTGGTTTATCTCTTACTAGAACAGCGTTTTCGTGGTTTGCAAGTCTGCCCCCTGGACAAATTCAGACGTGGGAAGGACTGGAGATGGCATTTCATGCCAGATTCTTTAATCCTTTACCAACTGTTTCTTTAACTGATTTACTAGAATTGAGACAGTATCCAGAAGAATCTGCTTCACAGTTTATAGAAAGGGTGCGATTGATGAAAGGGCGATGTCCTACGGTAATCAGTGAGAAAGAAATGACCAATTTAGTGGTCCGGAATATGCATACTCGCTTAAGAAAGGCACTCACTGCCTTGGACGTTGAGGATTTGGCAAGTCTTGCGTCTAAGGCAGGACGTTTAGAGTCTTTGTTCAGAGAGGAAGATCAGCATAACAGGCGTAATAGAGGCCAACATATGGCGAGTATGGGAACAGAAACATGTGACTTTGATTTTAATCAGTCAGAAGAGATGGCAGCCGAAATCCTTTCTGGGAAACCTTATGTATGCCCCAAATTGAAGCCAGTACCAGGATCTGAAGCAAAGGATCAACCAACGTTTGATAGTTCGAAAGCTGACGAAATCTTCGATATCCTGTTGACTGATGGACAGATCCGTATTCCAAAGGGGCAAAGACTGGCCACTAAAGAAGAAATCAAAGGAAGACCATATTGTAAGTGGCATAATTCTTTCACACACAATACAAGTCAGTGTACTCATTTTAGGAAGGAAATTCAAAAGGCCATCAAGACAGGTCGACTCAAGTACATCACTTTAGGTGTAGACCAGCAACCGTTTCCGAAAGTAACAACGGCAATGGTTGACATCCAACCGAGTTCGGAAACAAGAAAAAATTCGGCCAATAGTGGACAAACAGGGGAACGAACTCAGGCAAGTCCCGGAACAAAAAAAGGAA